TGTATAAATTTAAATCTGTGCCACAGCTACGGCATTTCATAGAATTGACAATAGCCTGAACAAATACGATACCGCTTGTGGGTGCAACGTGGGTATATTTGCTTTCTCTCCAACGGTGAGATACCAGCTTGATAGGCTTATAATCATACCTGATATTGCATGCTTTAAACAGCATTCTTAAAATAAATTTAGTGAAATTACTTTGTGCATCAGGTAAGTCTTTCAGAAAGCTCTTACTCTCTATGCTTATTTCCCTCAGCAAATCACTAAAGATTACATTTCTTTCTGGGAGTGAGAATACCTTACACATAAAGTTACAGACTTCAAGATGATGATGCAATTCTACTCTTAAAAAAATAATACATAGTTTTTTTAGAAATCAAGGCAATAGATATTTTATCTAAAGTTAGGAGCAATATTTGGTCAGCATCTCTTGTTGGCTATTAGATGAAGAATTATGGGAAGAATGCAGTTAGCAGCTGCTGTTTTCAGTCTAAGCCAGGTTCCCAGTATTGTTTGCCCCTGAGATTGCTGTCTGGAAGCTAGAAAATTTTATTTGATTAAGCTCTTTTCCTTAAGAAAAAAAAAATTACTCTTTTCTCTTGTAGCCCACTTTTGTTAAATATGTAGCTTAGATTTAAGTGGTTAAACACAGAGGAAGGCATTTCTTAGAGGTTTGCGTTTTTGCAGGGGTTTGGTTTTTTTGGCTTTTTTTTTCCAGATGTTATATAAGTCATACATAAAGATTTTTTTTTTTCATTGCATTATTTGTTTTTCTTAGCAGGAAACATTACAACTACTTCAAGTTACTAATTTTTCTAATTATATTGTTTGAAGATTGAAATTGTGTCCCTTTAAAGTTGACAGCAAACCTTGCATGATATGATTGTTAATTTTGTGAAGAGACAATGTAGAGAGAACTTCTAGGGACTGTTTGTCCTAGGATCTTAGGAAAATTGACCAAAACCACAAATGCTTGATTGAACGGGAGAATCCTGGTGATACGTATACCAAGTTCCAGCCTCTGTGTCTTATCTAAACAGCACGTTCCATTTGTTTTCAGCTTAATAATTTGAGAGATCTAAGTGGAGTTTGCTGTCACATTAAGAAGGTTGCTAGACTGTGCTGTATCTCAAATAAATACTTAGAGTGACTTTCTTGCAGCAGTTCAGGTACCTTGGTTCTGCAAGGATATGGATTGTACGTTTGGGGGTTTTGTATTAGGGTAATAAAAATGCTGGAGCCCCATCTAGTGCATGAACATTTAACGCTGCTAGAGAGGTTATAAAATGTGTTAGAGAGAATGGTAGACAATCCCATTAGTGGGAATATTTTACCCTTTTTGTAAAATAACTTGCATCACTACATCAGTAATGGATTGGAAGAGAAAAACATTAAAAAATAGTGGTCAAACACAGGTTTATTTGGGGAACGTGAATCCCTAAGGGTTAATCTTATTGTGCCTTAAAGGGACCACCTATATTAAAAGATTTAACTCTGTTAGAACCAAAGTATCGGCAGTCCAATTGAAGAATAATTACAGTCTGAAAAATCACTGAGACACCAGGACATGTTTAGCACGTTTAGGTTAGATAAATCTGATTAAATCCAAGCACATTTGACCTTGACCTGTTGCTTGTTTCCAGAAAAAAAATTGTTAATAAACAAAAAGACTGGGACTTTTGGATTTGATTATGCAATTTAGGATTGTGGGTAAAATCCTGAGTCCGTGGAAAGTCAGCAAGACTGTTTTCATTAATTTCATTTGCATTAGCTTTCACCCTTGGATTTTGAGATTAATTTTCCTCAGAGAGATTTGCTGTCCCTGTGAACTTGAACTTCCCTGCAAAGGTTACGAAGGAAATCCTCTTAGAAAAATCAGCATTTTAAGTATAATGGGCTGGCCAGTAGTCTCCCTTCTCCACCAGAGAAGAGGGGTGTTGCCTTTGAGATTCTGCCATAGCCCACTTTAAAACAAAATAAATAGGGTGCACTTTTTGAACTTGCTGAAAGGTGGGGAAATGCTGGTTTTAGTCAATGTGCATTTTTATGCATAAACATTTCTTTAGAAAATAGAGTATTTTTCTTCTAAACCTTGACTGGTTTAAGTAATTTTCTTTCAATGATTGTGTACGTATTCAGGAGTAATAAGATTTTGTAAAAGAAGAAAATCTGAAATATTAGTGTTATTTTACAAAATTCAATGCATCACCATTTCTAAGAGTATAGAAAGATACACCTATATAAAATTCAGGCTTCATTAGTATTTTTGACAATTGTACACCTAAATTTGAGTATGAGTATCAAATGGAAATAATTGTTTTATTAATGAACATGTTATGAATGCACATGTTAAATGCTTTATTGGATAAAAAGGTGATTAGGGCTAATGACCTATGTTTTTGTTCACAATTGAAGTCTATCTTGACCAGACTATGGTCAGAAATGGGCATAACACTGTTTTGTAAGGCCCATGGATTTATTGAAGGACTAAGGATATTACAAGCCTGCTGGTGATGATGTCACTGAAAGTACAGGTATTAAATATATTTATCTTTTTCAGTGGTACTAACTATAAAAGCAGCTATAAGGAATTTTTAAAAATAAAAACTTCCTATGGTGGTTTTTTCCCCTAAAAAAGTATTGTCTTCTGTAGATGTGTACTAGTACTACAAGTCAGTTATTTCAGCATTTCATGCAGCCTATGATAACTTGTTCTACAGAGAAGTTTTCATTGTAAATATAGAAGCTTCTGAATGTTATCTCTGAATTATAAGAAATTCTTCCCTGTTTTCTGGATTTAGGAATCATCCATGTCTCCATAAAGCTTTAAATAGTATAAGCACAGTTGTGCTGTGCCCTCAGAAGAACATCTTTTCAGCTTAGTTCTGAATTAGAATGCAAAAATAAAAAATTACTTAACTAAAACAGATGTGTAATGAGGACAAATACACTATTGTGCAAGCAAATAAAAAATGGTTTTTACTATAACCTGAAGAAATTAATTTATTTCTACTGACCTCATTAAATTCTTGTATATATTAGAATACTTTAAAATCATAGTCATTTAATTAAATGAGTTCCTTTTAAGCAACATAACTGTAAAAAACAAAAACAAAGGAAACTTAAGATAATGTCTATATTGCACATTAAACAACTGTTATTGTCTAATTACGCTTCAGCATGTAAATACTCTAGTAGCTTGTAATGCAATACTTATTAATCAAAAATACTGTGTCAAATAGTACTGGCCTTGAGGTCAAAATCAGTATTATTGATTGTTCTGGGAGCCACACCGTAATCCATGCTTCCCCATGCAGGTCATAGGACCTGGCCCAGCATCGCAGGAACATTGCAGGGGTTGGTTTAGATCGAACACAAGCAAACATCTATACCTCATCAGGGTCCAGTAGGTTGCTTCTAAGCTGCTGTTTCTTTAGTATTCACCACTTCATTCCTGTAAAGGACGCTTAGGAGCTTCACACCCTGATTCCGTCATTCTCAGCTGTTGCTCCCCTCCTTCCACCCTCTTCTCCAAGAGAGTTTTCTGAAGTCCAGTTGTTTCAGTGATCAAGTTTACAGTGGTGTTCCACAAATACCTTTATTGATGCATATTTATGGAGTTGCAGACAGGACCTTCTTAAACTAGATTTGCTGCCAAATCTAGCATATTGTATAATTACACCTTTGCTAACACGTCTATGCTGTTGCTAATTTGAATACCTTGCTAAGTAACAGGCTTTCTAATTGCCCTCTCGGAAAATGTGTAGTTTGTAGGCTGTAGTTTGTAGGCTAAACCACGATAGCTGTCTAAATAAGTTTGCAGACCTGGCAGAAATTGTAATTGTGAGTGATATTTCTAACAATTTGAGCTCAAATACAAGTCACAGATTTTTTTAGTAACCTGTCATCCAGCCTCACGCTTGTCCAACGTGAAGGTGAGGGGGAGCAACTTAAAACACAGTTGTGCAGGGGGCTCTGAAGTGTAGTTTCAGTCATATATTAGAAAATAATTTATTTTACTTTCCTATTGTTCTCGCTGTTCTGCCTATCCAAGAGTAATAATTTAGGGTGGGTTTTTTCACTTCTGTGGTTTGGTTTGATTATGATTACATGTGAACAGATAAACTGAGAAAAAGGTACCACTTTTACGTGTTCAACTTTCAGACTATAGCTCAGCTTGGGTACATTTAAAGGACGAAATTGAACTTTAATGATTTAGCCTAATCAGTCCTTTAGTTGCTGGAAAAATGAATGCTGATGTCCTAAAATAAAACCAAAGCAAGCAAGCAAACAAAACCCAAAACCCCACCACTTGTACCAAATAAGGTAGTTGGAAACTATTTTTTTGCAACAAACAAACTTCAAGATGTGTAAAAGTAACACTGGGAGTTAGATTTTCAAACTTTGAAACAACAAGAGCTGTGAAATACTATTTTGAATGTGCTCCATTGTGTCACAGCATTTAAGAGATCTCAAAGTGATGATTGATCTTATTTCTACCATATGCCAAGCTCTAATGACAGAGTCACTGTAGCTTAAGTAAATGTGCAGATTCTATATTAGGTTGTAGAATTTCTGCAGCACTTGTAGAGAGACTTTTTGTTACTACAGGAATTCTAAAAAAATCAAGAAAATCCTAAAGATAACTTGTCCAAGTTTTACCATCCTGCACCAGTAGTCATAGTTGTCTGTAATGTATTCTCTATGAACTATTAGGGGGTATGAGAGTGTAAGAGTTTTGGGATCAAGGCAGTTGTCGGCATTTGAGAATTAGGTTTGAGCAGTTTCTTTAATTCAAATTGATTGGCTGTGGATATTATTTGTAATTAACTGTCTTTTTGCTACATGTTATTTTAGGAGAATGAGAAAGGGAAAATGTTGTTTATTTTAAGTGTGCTAATATGAATTTGAAACTTGCTATAGATTGCCATCAAGGACAGTTCTGTGCATACACCTTAGCCCATGAAAAATTTAATGCATTGTATTTCCATGTTTAGATATTGCAAATGGCTCCAGTTCAGGAGGATACCGCCCCCCTCCCAGAACAAAAGAAGTGATCATCAATGGACAGACAGTGAAACTAAAATACTGTTTTACTTGCAAGATTTTCCGCCCACCTCGTGCCTCACATTGCAGCCTTTGTGATAACTGCGTAGGTGAGTAAAAAAAGATATGGCATATGTTCAATTTAGTAGCTTATATATTGTTATGAATACTTTTGATACAAGAGAGAAAAGAATCAGAGTTAGTGACAAGATTACTCATGAAGTCACTTGCTGTGTTCATCCTTCTTTCCTACAAGTGCTGTTAAACGTTAAAAATTTTAGAGGAGGCAGATGACGACATTTGGCCTAACAGATAGTTGTTGCTAATCTAAGAAGGAAAAATATCTTCTGATGCATACATCTTTCCTAACCTGTTTTGCAAGACAAAGAACACACCCAATTTGAATAGAGCTGTGTTGTATGTATAATGAACTTCCCAGTGCAGAGAACCAGCCTTTACGGGAGTCTCAGAATTGTTTCTTTCACCAAACTAAATTGGAGGGTGAGGAGCTGCTTCTCCATTTCATTACAGACTAACTGTAAGGGATGGTTCAAATGGTTAGGACTTGCACTGTGACCAGAATATACACTGTAGGTGTTTCTTACCTTTGAACAGTTTTAAGACTAGAAATTTCAAAGTCAGAATCCATAAGAAATTACTGGGCAAGCAGGCTGTTTTGAGAGTAAGTAGATGTTGTCAGGACCTAAGGATATTTTGTAATGAAAGGGGCTGAACATGCCTTTTTCATGACTCTCTTCTTTGGAGGGCAGACAAGGTGATTAAGATATGCTTGGATTTAAAAGCAAACAAAACCCCCCCACCAATCAAATCTGAGTAGTTTCTTGTTAATTAGATCACATTTAGAGTTTAGTGCAGCTGATTAGCACACTGTTGAGCCTGGATCTTATGCATTCAAGAAAATAACGTAGAAGGATGTCTCCAGCTGAGAAATGTAATTGCAGCATTCAGCAGTGGTATTTTTAGATATAAAGCAGTCATTGGAAGAATTACAGTTTCATGTTTAGATGATATTCATTGAGGGAGTACACTTATATCAGAGTGAAAAGTTTAGCCTTTTGGCTATACAATTGATCGGTATATGTAGATGGTTCCTTCAGTAAATAAGTTTTTCTGATGTGTTAGAATTTTGCAAGTGTTATAAAAGCTATTGAGTTGGCAAGTAGGGATGTTTATGAATTGCAGTTGACACATTTTCAGAAAAATATTACATCAAATGTGTAACTTTGATGTTACAGTTGTGCTATTGCTCAGCAAACCTGATAAAGTGAAAATGGAGTTGTTGACCAATGCAGTAAATAAAAGTTAAAGGCTGTTGTCTTTACTGAGAGTGCATAAATAACTCACACACACACCCTGAAGCTTATTTTGAAATAGTATTTCAGGTTTTTTTAATAAACTGGTATGATGGATTTTTCTACACATTATTCTGTAATCTGTGTCCTTTTCATATTAAATTTGGAAAACCTAGTCTGTAAAACACACAGTTAGCGATGATGGGGAAACAACTTAAACAATCTTTGTCTTCTGATTATATCTGTGATGAAGCAACAGATGTGAATTATTATGAATGTATATCAGAAAAGAGTCTGAGCAAATTACATAAGTGATAGTTTTATCCAAGAAGATTAGTATTTTCTGCTCATAAAATAGGTATGATTACTGTAACTTCCTCTTGCACATTTTTTAATTTGAAGTTATTTTTTTAAAAATAATTCCATCCATTTATTGGAATGAATTTGCTGTGTTCTTTCTCCTCAGTGTTTATAATGGGAATTACAATAAATTATGACTCTTTCAGGGTACAATGCATAGTAGTTTTGTTTTCTGATTAGGTACAGGTATTTGTTGTCTAAATAGTCAGGTGTATTGAATGCAAAAAGTGAAATCTGCAAGTACCTGCAACTAATTTTCTGTGGAAAAAAAGATGTCAGTAAAATCACATTGCTCATGTACTTGTAGAAAACTAACAGTATAAGTGTGTACACTTAATCAGAATGTGTTATGCAGTTTACCACCACTCTTCCATTAGGATTGTCTATATGATGATGCTTTTATTTAATTTTAGTTAGTGAATAAATCTTATAATAGCAATGACTGTTCTTGTGCCACTATCATTTGCTGGTTCCTTGCTGATGTAACTAAACCAATACAAAAATATTCCTACTTCACATGCATGTGGATATTTAAGTAACTTACAATTGCAACTCGCTACCAATATGACTAAGAGTTCCTTTTTACTACATAGTTCCTGAAGCTTTTCCTGCATAGTTATAAACTAACGACAGAGACTGTGTGATACAGGAACGGAGTCTGTCTTCAAACCAGCACTCACTGCTCAGAAAAAACAGTATGCTGCTTTTATCTAAAGGTGTTTTATGATACTGGCTAAATTAATGCAGTGTGAAAGAGAGGGTCTTTCATTCTATATTCTGTATTTTTATATTTCTGCATTCTATATTGATGCTTTTCATTCTGTAAGGAACCCTTAGCAGCATTTTAAATCTGTAAGTACATACAAAAATTTATTCATTGTTGGTTTTTTCCCCTCTTTTGAATTAATCCTAACTTTCTAGTTGTCTAGTCAGCATATATGTTACTTGATCTTGTGTCTGATTTTCATTTCATTGCTAATTTTCTTATAAAAAGCTACATAGTATGCTTAGATAGAATATTGAAGAAATAACTTTAAAAAAACCCAACCAAACTAGTTTGAGGTCTACGCATAGTCATACTTCAAACTCCTTTAGCTTTACAATATTTTCATAGCACTATCCAGAAGCATCTGGATTTTCACACAAATATAGTTTGTTGCATTTATGTAATACCTTAAAAAATTGGGTTGAATAAGTGTTCCTTGAGGCAAATATCTTGAATGTATTCCTGACTTGCTTTCTTTAGCTGCCTTTGTGAATGGTAGTTGGAAGTTAGCCCCTCAAGGATTTTCTGTGTACCATTGTGTTGCATAAAAATTATAAATGAATTTAAAATAATGTATACATAAACACAAGAGATAAAGACTTAAAAAAAAAAAGAATAACCACAGTAGACATAAATTCTGAGCTCAGGCTAGTTATTGCTGGGTTTTGACAAGAGATTTTGATTGCACTGTGTGCAATGCTAGTAAGAAGCCAGTGGTTGGGCTTGCTTCTGAAATGACCAAATGACTTTTTTTAATTTATATTTGTTCATTTCAACATCAACAGTGTAATTTCCTTTTCTATATGGTTTAAACAAGACAAAAATTATTTATTAAATTTCATTTCTATAATAAAAGCTGAACAAGAAGCAGCTAACTTATTTCCAAACAATTTATTTAAACATAGTACTGAATGACTAACAAGAAACAGTGAATAATGATTAGCAAGCAGTAAATCAACTTAGTCCAATAATCTAAATGTCTAAAGCCTTCCTTGCATTCACATGCTACAGGTTTGTTCATCAAGCAAAGTCACTGATTTAGACTAAGGCAAAAATCCAGTATGGTGGAAAAAGAGATCCACCATTTATATTAATCTAAGAGTATGTGGCCTTTTTATTGGTTTCAGAATCTATATTGTAAATTTGTGTGTGACTGATGGATAAAGATAGCTTCTCTTCTGCAGTTCCACTGTGTTTCTTTCAACATATGATTTTTGTTTCCACAGAGGATTCAAAGCTCGAATTTTTTAAATAGGATGTCACAACTGAACTTTGAAACATTTAGTTTGATTTTTCAGAGATCACCGATGAACATAAGAATGCCATACTAAGTTAGACCAAATTTTTGGTTCATACAGTAGTCCGTTTCGTGTCATGGCCAGAGTGGATCTCTGGGGAAGAATGGGAGAAGAGGGCAAGCACACGGGGATGCTTCCTGCCGAATATTCTCACGCACTCAGAAATTTTCAGCATAGGCCTTCTTGAACCCTAGGGGGTTATCCCTTGGTGTTTTTCCAATAGCTCTTGATGGATTGTGGTTGGCCTTCTTTATACCTAATATAAACTTTTTGAGATGAGGAACCAGGATGCCAGTAGTCCTGAAGGCACACATACCATACTGGCATTTTCTATTGATGTTTCTGTTTCCTGTAGGAAATAGGGTTCCTCTCACTTGTAAGTCTGCTTTTCTATAGATCCTAAACATGAGACCAAGTGTCAAGATTTTGACAGAAATTTTGACAGAAAATATGCTATATTAGAAGCCAGTAGACACTGCCTTTCTGGTTAAATCATTGCTTCTGTAAAGCACTTCTGCCAGGCAATTGTAGGCATAGTCTTTTGGTTTTGGTCTTGACTGGACCACATTAATTTATTGTTTTGAAAATACAATGTGTTGTGTACCCAGCAGTATACCAAACAGCAGAATTTGGATAAAATAATTGTTTTTTAAAAGTAGTTTTTCAGATTAGGCACCAGTGTTGTGATTTTTTTTTTAATTGGAAATTAATTATTAAATCTAACATGTAACACACACAACATAAGACAAAGAGTGAGAATTACCACTGTGTTCTGGGACAAGCTCTTCCCTGTAGTCACTTCAGATACCACCATCTTCCAGCCTGCAGAACACAAATTACTTAAAAAACAGGCTGAGACGTGGCGTTGTAACTGTTTGGTTTTTACAGCACTGACACTGTGTCTGAGAGTAATTTTCCCAGGACTCTGTGGTCCTTGATAATCAGTGTGCGTTAACTTGATGTGAGGACTTTGTTTTGCTTGGGTTTAATTCTGTTCTGTAGCACTCTTCCTTCATTACTTTATTATCTCCCTTCTTGCTTTCAGTTCCTTTTTGTGACCTTTGCCTATTTCTTTCCTTACATTTCCTGCAATGAAGAGAGTACAATTTTCACTTCATTTTGGGGCCTGATTTTTGATCCTGGTAAACCTTAGGTCTGGATCTCTTGAACTGACTCTTTGGCTGAACAGTTAAAACTACAAAGTTGGCTGCTATGTCTTCTTTTTTTTTTTTTGGCTTTTCTTTTCTTTTCTTGTATTTTTTTTCCCCAATTTTCACATGTGAGAAATGGCTTTGGCTGTCTTTGCGCTACCTTTCTGGGGCACCCAAGAAGCTGCCAAACAGACTACGCACCAACACTTACAGAAGCGATAT